AAAAAAAAAAAAAAAAAAAAAAAAAAGGTTGAAGAAAAACAAACAGATCAAAGAATATATACTTTAACTAAGTTTGTTTTCTTTTTTTTGTGTACAAATCAGGAAAAAAAAAACAACTAATCCTACAAAAATACTCTTTTTTTTTTTCATCAACTTAAAGTATTTGTGCAAAAAAAAAGAAAAACAATTTTTTTTTCTGTTTTTATTCAATTTTCATAATAATCAAAATTAAGAAGCATTGAAAAAGATTTGTTTGTAACCTTAGTAATCATCAGAATCAACGAGCAGGAAATGAAAAAAAAAAAAGCACTGCATTGTCGTTTCCTCCTCCACCCTTTTAATCGACACATTTCTTTTTGTGCTCATCTCGGACAACGTTCAGACTAACAATTCCCATATCGTAGACACCGTTTACATACTGTTTCGGAATCTTATAGTTATCTTTGATTGTACATTTCTGAAATATACGAAAACTGCAGTTACACAGTTAGCAACAACATCACCACCAACAATAACCATAACAACAGCATAGGATAGAGAATTTTTATGCCAAAATAACTGAAGAAAAAGTTTGTCAGTTTTTGGAATTTTTGTTATGTTCAATTTTTTCTTCTTTTTCTGACTGTGATATATCAGACGCTTTTAACAAATTTCTAGACAACTACAAGTTTTTTTTTTTTGCTGCCACTGTTGAAAATAAAGCTTCTCAAGAAATCTTAGTCACATTTTTTTTTTTTGTTGTCTCTTCTTCTGCTTGCTTCTGAATCATCTGTTTTGAATAGGTTACAGGAAAGAAATCACAAAAAGAAACACCAAAGGAAACATTGAAATTTTTGAAAATAGACACACACAGAACTCTATTGAGCACAAAATTTTTGTAAACATGTCAAAAATAAACCAAAACACTTCTGATACATCTCATATTTTTCCTTCATTTGTATTTTTTTTTTAACCATCATTACAGCTACCAAAAAGTTTCTGCTATCAGAACAGTTTTGAACTTATTGCTGTAAGTTTTTGTTTGCGATAAACTGCTTTTTGTAATCAACCAAAAAAATATTTCGTCTTAGTTGTTCAATGATTAAGCAACTAAAGTAAGGAAAAAAGAAGTAAAAAAAAAAATAAATACCAATTTTTTTTTCTAAATTTATTATTGTAGTTTTTTAAATTTTTTTGTCTAATTTTTTCTTTTTTTGCTTTTTTTTTTGTCCATTTAACTGTTCAACAAAATTTGTATATCTCTGTAAAGCAAACGGGGGAAACAAGGATTAATATGCTAAAATCAGTGAAGAAAAAAAACTGAAATTTGTTGTCAACAAAATTGCAGAAAAATTGGGGAATAAAAAACCAAAAAAAAAAAGCAATTGTAAAAAAAACACTGAAAAAAAAAAAAGAAGAAAAGCAGCACTAATGAACTTTTAATAAAACCGGTTTATCTATTTTATGTCTTTTTTTTTTTTTGTTCACAACAACATTAGGTGAAAAGTTAGTAAG